TCCAGATTGATCGGAGGAATGAAAAAAAAAATACAAGCAACCTATGATGTTGTGCGTAATATCCTTTGCTGATCTTGAGAGCGCGCTTGACTTGGCGCCAGTTATAATTTCCAGACATTTCGTTACGTAAGCATCGTAACTTAAGAATGCATTATTAACAGATTAGCAGGATAACCTCGATATGAATCATTTTGCGAAGCCTTTATGAAAGCATATAGGTACTTCCCTCGAGACCTCAATATTATAAAATCAACTTGAGAGAACAAGATTGATAATTTCATTGTTATTCTTTTGATTGATGTCGCCAATGAAAATAATTCACGCCGATTGAGAACATGACAAGATTGAGAAAATTTGCATTTTAGTGTAGGTGAAGAATACATTTCGAAAAAAATGTTGTATCGTGAGAATTAAATAATCTATCATTCTACGATTTCTCGATCTCTGATAAGCTAACGTAATACCAATAATAAAACGCTAGTCATTTGTAAAGAATTCCTTTTTCTTTCATTCTTGAGAAATAATTTTTGAATTTTCTTAATATATAAAAAAAAATTCTAATTTAAATTTTACTCCTTATACTCAGTTATTCACTATGCATATGTGCGCGTGTTGAATTTAATTATTTTTTACTATTTATATTAAAATAATTGCTAAAAGAAATTTACTTTTATATATTTATTTATTTAATATGATTTAATATATTTTTTTAGCTTCTAGCTCCTTTTTTTTATTTTTTTTAGCTTTTTTATTTATTTTGAGACATTATGTATAATTTCTGTCAAATTTAACCTTTTCAGTATTTAAATAATATATTGTAATTTTAATAAATGTTCTAAACGAAAGCTATTTTTTGTCTTCCACTTTAGTATTGTTCGGATGCAAAATTACCGGTATTCATGTACTGGATTGATAGTGTCAAAGCACGAGTAGCGCGGGAAAGCGGTATTGCGTAAGAAAACTGCGAGATGGAAGCATCATTTTCATGTAATCTTGCGTACACATTTATCGAGCAAAACCGGCCGACACCAGACTTTCCTAGCGATCTTAATGACTGATGCAAATGCGCCGTCGTTAAGCCTCGTTGGGCTCGTTTCTCGTGACTATTTGCCTTTATAGCAACTCTCCATTCCAAGGCACATCGCCGTCGTGCTCTTCATCTAGGAGCCGACTATGTTGTCGCGGTGGCGACGATTTCTTTCCGCCATCGCGGTCAATCGCGGCCGCGAAACAATGCGGCACTCAATGGGATCGTAAACAGGCATGATCGTTAGCTTGATGGACGCGTTTAGACGCATTTCTACGCTCGCGGCTCGCTATTATTGTGTTGAAATGAAATTGACGAATGATGCGCTCGAGGACTCGCGCACTCGCAAACTTTGCCGCCAGCCGAGTTTGCATAAATTTCATTTTAATGTAATCATTTAAATTTGAGTAATTTAAGTAACATCGAACTTCGAGGAATGTTGGAGATTTAATTTGAATTAAAGTGATTGAAATAATTAAATTAAATTTAATTTAATTTAATTTAATTAAAATTTATTTTAATTTAATTTAATTTAATTTTTAAATCAAATCAAATATGTGAAGGATGAAAGCATTTGGAGAAAAAATAAAATCAGAATACACACATACGTTGCAATATGTATATGCGACGTATAAAATTATTATATAAATAAAATTCTACTTTGATTTTTGTTTTTTGAAATATAAATTATCTAAACAACTTTAAAATATTTTATTAGCAGGGCATATTTTTTAAATGAAAATTTAGTGCTTGCATTTTGCACAAAGATATTTCTTTAGGTGAATATATTTTGCATTTTTGACTTATATTGTGCAAGTACTCGCCGTATTATGTTTTTTCAGACACTTTATTTGCGCGTGAATGAACTCGATTGACCCGAGAATCGATTTCTCACAACATGACAAATTCCAATCACGGTTTCGATTTGTCAGCAAATCGGAATCTTTGTGCCGATAGCCGACGAGTCCTCGAGCGATTGAAATATGCTGTCCTGTGAAAAATCGAATTTAGTTTTCGATCGTCGAGGAAGCTTACACGTGTGACTTGTGTTTTGTTATCGGATGTTGCAAAAAAATCGAAAATTAATGGCGCAATACTCGATGGCACGTGTGACGACCTCGATAAACATCGCTTAAGTTGCAATATGTATGAAATACATATGCTTGAAGAGAAGAAACGAAATAATAAATTGCACACCAATGTTGCACATCACGAAGACAAAACACTTCAAATAAAAAGTATATAATTTTTTTGAAAAAAAGCACAAGATTGAAAAGAATTTTTTCAATATTTAACATAATGTATATTTTTTTTTCAAACTAAATTTTTTAAAATTAAAACTTATTTGGAAATAACAAAAAAATGAAATTGTCTTCGATTAATTTAACTTGTGACATTTAATTAAAAAATATATTCTCCGATTTTTCACACGAGAGTTGCTACTCTCTAAAAGTGAATTAGTGTATTATCACTGTAATCAGTGCTGTACTTATAACTGTTTGTAATCAGTGAGTATTTACTGTTTTTCAGTGATAATACACTGATTCATGCTAGTGAAAGTAGTATATATACTGATTCACTTTTAGAGAGTAGAGTACATTAACATGCATTTTCCAATCACATTCCATATGCTTCATTTAAAAATAAGGAGAAAATAAATTATATATTAAATAAATAGATAGATAATTATATAATAAATTATAAACTAAAAATAATTAAATTATATATTATAAATTATATGCTATAATATTCCGTATGGAACACCCTATATAATTCGAAACTGGACATCGTGGCAACCATCGAAAAGATTAATAATTAGCGGTCGCATCCTCATGGCCGCTATTTTTATCGCGCTCATTATTCTCGCTAAGAGCGTCGTAATTTGCGGTCGTAATTTTTCACTTAGATCTCACCGCTCTTCCGGTCGCGGCGAGTGACGTCACAATAAACGGCGCCTGTTGGTTCCCGCGAAATTGCGGGAACATTTGTGGAAACGAAATGAACACGTGTATCGACAGATCCGATCATTTCTCCTTGTGAATCATCGACGATGAAATCATGAGATCACCATGTGAATCGCTCCCGTGTCCTTTCTACGTATTAGAGCAAGAAAATGCTTATTTTTCTTTTTTTATTAAATTTTGTTAATTCGATGAACGCGACATATGGGCGGAAATCTTTTTTTTTTTTTTTAAGACGGAACCAATCAAGCTCGCGATGGCGCGGATCTCGTTCGTGATTCATATCGGGGGCTCTCTGGAAGACGCTGGATGTGTCAAGAGTCGCTTCGCGATCTCGCCCGAGACTAATTATCGCGGCTGGACGTGAATTAAGGACGTAAACCTAAACGACGTCGCCGCCGCGGTCATAAGTGCGCGGAGCCGACGCTGACACTATCGGCGGCCCCGATCTCTCTTTCCTGCGCTCCTCTCTTTTCGTCTCTCATCTTTACGCGCGCGAGAAACACACAAGTCGGCCCCTTCACGCTCGAGCGAGGCAATCTCGAGCTCGTTATCTCGCGCGCCGCTGGAACAAGCGTCGTTTTTTCGACCAATTTGCATCCGCAATTGCGTATCTGCAAAACGTGCGAGGGAACTGAAGTCGTCGTTTCGGCGTATTAATCATTATAAATATACCTTCGAGAACTTTATTGTAATACCGTTTGAAATAGGATATAAAATATAACGATATCATTTAGAATATGTAACATTTTTAATAATCATTAAGAATCATATATTTATAGGGTTGCACGAGACACCAAGATTAGTCTTGATATTGTCTTGTCTTGTCTTGAATTTCAAGACAAGATCAAGACAGGATTTTTAATTAGTTACCAAGACTAAGACTGTCAAGATTATTAGTCTTGTCAAGATTATTGGTTCTCAAAAAAACTAAAATATTTATATTTGTAAATGAAAAAATATCACTATATACGAATTTAAAAATTTTTATTCAATAAAAACATTTATATTAATAAATTTAAAAACATTTAATATTAATACAATATAACATTTTTATAAATTAGAAATCAAGCTCGCAAATTTTAGATATTAAAGAATATTTCACCCAGGAATTGATGCATATTAGTGCTTTTAAAAATTTACTTTGTAATCTGGTTTTATTTTTTGACAGAGTTAGTCAGAGTTCCTATTGAGAAAAGTCTTTCTACTGGCACGGATGAGGCAGTTGAACTTAAAATGTTTCGAGCCATTTTTGACAATGTGGGATAAATATGAATCTGATTTTTTTATCACTCCAAAATATTTATCTGTACATTCCCTTGGAGCCTGTAAATAATTATTAATTTCTGTTTTCCATGAAACAGTAAATGTTTTTTTATGTAAATAGACGGCATTTATATCGATTACATAGTAATAATTATAATTAAAATATATTACAATAGTAATAATTAATTCAAATTATATTACAAAAATTGTGTTAAATATTATTTAAATAATGTTTTTAATATTAGATAAAAAATTGTTAATAAAATCGAGACAAGACAATGCAAGACGAGATTTTTGCTACCAATATTCACTCAAGACCAAGACAAGATTTAAATTTTTGAAAATGTTCAATACCAATACAATATTTTTACGAATATTGTCTTGTCTTGGGTCTTGTGCAACCCTATATATTTAAATATTAAACAATTCTGGAGAAAAATGCATAATCGAAAATATCATGACACATTCCATACAGCACAGAACATTGTTGTAACGTTACAGCAATATTGCAGCAACATTGTAATATTGCAGCAATGTTACAACAATATTCTGTGCTGTATTCTGGGATGTTAAATTATCATCATTATATCAAAGAAATACACTCGAGATATTTTGGTCAATTTGAACGTCTTGGAAGAATCGTTTCAAAGATCGTTATCGACACTTGCACTCGAGCGACACTTCACGCAGTTGGCGAGAATATTTGTCTCCTCGTGAATTCCCGAAATAATTCGCGGCGAGATATCATGAAGAAGGTTGGATCCGGGGTTCTGCAAGTCGAGGTGAGCACCGACGAGGAATGGCGACAGTTATTGAGCTGTCCGGGTCTGATCGTCGTGGACGTGTACTCGGACTGGAGCGGGCCGTGCTCTGCCATGGCGAGTACCCTGAAGAAGATCAAGATAGAGGTAGGCGACGCGGTGGATTACGCGATCGCGCGTAACGACGACATCGACGACTTGGCGAGATTCCGTGGTCGAAGCGAGCCCACTTGGATGTTCCTGCAAGATGGTAAAATGGTGAACCTGATGTTTGGAGCGCACTGTCCGCGTCTGCGGAAGCTGCTGATGAACGAGATAAGGAGGGTACAGCACTTGGAAACTCCCAAGTGGCGACTCGATGTGTGCGAACGGGCCCCCGAGGAGCAAGCTCGATGGCAGGAGCAGGAAGCCATTAGGTGATGAGAGAAAATTGATTTTACAGAAAGAAAAAAATCAGGAATCTATTCACATTCCATAATCTTAATAATATATTCTGATGATCGCGAGATAGATTAGCGAGATTCAACCATATTTTACAAACTAGATAACTTTGCGTATTCTAAATTTCTGTCTTAAATCCCCGCGATATTTTTACTCAAACATACTCGAGGCGATCTCGCGATATCGCCGCGAGATTAATAAAGCTTTCGCGGTTACCAAAAAAGAAAGAGAAGAAGGCGAAATCGCGTGTATTCATGCAAAGTCGTCTCCGAAAAGGCGAGTGTTGCTGGAGAAGAAACAGGCGAAAGAAGAGGCCGAGAGGCTGGAAAGATACGAGCGATTTATGGCGCAAATGGTAGTCGAGCTATGCGAGAAAACGGTGCTGGTGCTTTACCCGTGGGTCTTCAAGGACGAGCGTGGCAGACCGCGGGACAAGTGGCAGAGTCCACCGTATACGGAGCTCGTACAGGATCTCTTCAGACAGTGCTTCGACGTGCAGGAGGAGCTGCGTATCCAGTTAAATGAGGACACGATCGAGAGGATGTTTGTCGAGAGTGGCGTCGACATCACCAAGGAATTGATAAAAGGTGCATCACAGTAAACAAGACAGCCACGAGATCTGACATAATAATTGACTCCCTAGCTTGGAGTACTAAAATATATTATCCTATAATATTAATCAAATTGTCTACCCTTGATCGCATCTTCATGAAACACCTTGGGATTAAAAAAAAAAAGAAACGAGAAAAATTGCGAATTCTTCAGGACTGACCGATGGGAAGTGCATGGCGATGAGGCTGAAAGGCAAACCGCCGCATCCGGATTGGCCGGTGCATTATCCGCACGAATGTCCGGAACGCAACTCGATGAAATGTCCGATTCGCGCAATCGACGACGTCGAGAATTATCTCATCAGCATCATCACGACGCAGCCACCTCCACTTATAGGAACTGAAGCCGGCGCGCCTTTGTCTCGACTGACGTATGATAACGTGCCTTACATCGAGAGACACGTGTACGTGCACGAACCGGACCCAAAAATTGAAGGCGATGTGCGACGCGTGCATCCCGCCGCTTGGGTACCTCCTCAAGTACGGAAGATATTAATTGAAAATTAATTAAAATTATTTATATAGATTAAAATCAAATTTTATTTTATTTTATTCAATTTTATTCAATTTATATTTATCAAATTTTGATTAATTTGATATAACGATAAAAAACAAAAAAATATAATAATCGTAAATAATATCTCATGCAAATTATATTTGCTATAAAAAATATTTTTCCAAAGAGAGAGGATATTACTTTTATTGAAAATTTATTACAAATTGTGATGTTGACAATTTAATTTTATTAAATTTTATTCAATTTATATTTATTAAATTTTGATTATACTGATTTGATATAACGATAAATAACAAAAAATATAATAATCATAAATAATTTCTCATGCAAATTATATTCGCAACAAAAAATGCTTTCCCAAAGGAAGGAATTATTTTCATTGAAAATTTATTGCAAATTATGATACTGACAACACGATATCTGCGTTATCGCTCCCAGGCTAGAAGCAAAGTTAACGTCTTTAAGACACTGTTTCCGACTTACATGGAGAAGACTCATCCTTACGAAGAGCCTGTACCTTCCTTACCATTGTGCGCCTTCAAGTTTGACGCGTCAAAATTCGGCGTCGTGCGGGATACATATGAAAAATATCGCGACACTATCGAACACTTTGGCGTCTTCGAGTTCGATCAACCGCCTCACGCGAGACGCCTCGTATCTTCGCCTGAAGATTTCGAAAACAAGGTGCTCCATCTCCCTGTTCTTTCTATTATAATTCGACAAATAATCCGATAAAACTTGCTATATAAAATTATATATATAATCTTTTTTGCCGTAATTTAATATTACAATTTCGATAAAATTAATGAGGATTAAATATATTATTCTTTTCTATCATAATTTGGTGATACAATTTACGATAGAAAATTTGAAAAGAATTATTTACGAAAGGTGAAGTACAAAACTGGCGATGAGGTGTTCGTAGTGATAATTCGAAGGATTAGCGAAGAAGCTTTCCTTGCTTTCGCTAGCATCGGGCCGTTCTTCGTGACAGAGGTTGACGAAGAAGCACAAGGAATGTTAACGGAATATTTCCCTGAAGGAGTCAAGGATGTGATACTATTAACACCGGACGAGCAAGAAGCACTTTATGAGGATGAAGAAGAAGAAGATTATGAAGAAGAGGAAGAAGATGAGGAATTTGAAGGAAATGACGTTTATCCTTTTTATTAATTTAAAAGGATCTAATAATCTGTTCCTATATAATCAGAATAACTCTCACGGATATATATTTAAAAAAAATACATTTATACTTATAAATAATTGTTAAAAAATAGATTTATTTAATAAAAATATTAATTTTTTTCAATGATTACGTCTTTACAAAAAAAATACATTTATAACATAGCATTGAACACTTTCTTGTGATAATATTTATAAAAGCGTGAAAACAAAAGTTGACGATTTATAAGGTTTAAAAAAAATTATGCAAATTTTTGCCATATGGAATTCGCGTTCCACAACATTTACATTCTCCGCATGTTTTGGCAGCGATCGCCAATGTGCGATTTACTCAGTGTGCTTGGCACAGCGTGTTTGCGTAAGTTTGGCGAAATACTAAACCAGCTCGTAGAAGTTATAAACGCGCAGCTATTCTGCTGCCAATTTTGATTCCAGCTAAACCGCGCCGAAATATTCGCAAGAAAATAAAAATGAAAAAAGCCAGCGAAAAAATATGTTTCATTCGAAATTTTATTTAATTCTTTATCGAATTATAGTGCACTGAAAAAAAACTCTAAGAATTTATATGTCTTTATCTTCAACTTTCCACCAATTGAATTAAGTCTATAATTTTTAATTTAATTTCTCTAATTTAATAGAATTTAATTTTAATTCGAAATTCTAATTTATATAATTAATTTTTTAATTTATAATATCCTTATAATTTCTAAAAAAAATGTATTATAATTATTTACTTAATTTAACTCTTATAAAGATTTAAATGTAAGATGCATAGAAAAAGATATTACGTATTAAGTTATTTATTTTGCGCGTCGATTGCATCAATAACTAATAAATTTTATTTTAGGAGACAATTTTCTCTGCAATTAATCGTGCATTGAACTTTTGGGACAAATTGCTTTATATTGTTTTTTTTTTCTAATTAATCTTATGATAAATACTGTAGGAACATTTATTTATTTTATCCATGATAATCATTTTGAAATTTTTTCGTTGCTTTTGTAGCCTTTGTTTGTGTGCTCTGTAGCGTCTTCTTTCTGAGAACATAAAACAATAAAGTCGTGGCTAAATTTCATTTGTAATAAAATTGCTATAACTTTACGTCCAGAGCAAGAAAAAGAGGAAGATTGTTGATTGATTCTTTCTTGCATCTTATCGCGTATTTTATTTATAATTATTATTTCGCGTCACGCAAAATTATTTTATCTGGCCTACAATACTCTCAATTATATATAATATAATTATATTATATATATATATATATATATATATATATATATATATATATATATTTGATATGATTATATGTTCTTTCTATTATTATAATTCATTATATGTGTGAATATTTAATTTTAGTGTATGTATTATATTATATTTATTATAGTTAAAAAAATCGAAGCTGTAAAGATTTTTTTTATTACATTAATTCACGCACTCAATAGCTGATTGCAATTAATATGCATATTTTAATGATTCGCTTAATACTTAATGATTTTTTCGATCAAAAAGAAGATTTAATCAAATCAATTTCTAATCGAAGTAATTATATATTAATTCAATCCTTAATCGAATTATTTAATTATTTAAATTTATAATTAGCAAAATAATTTTGTGGGACGTTTGTAACATATCCTATTTTTTTTTAATCCTCACGTACATCTAACGTAATTATTATAGATAAATATCTCAAGAGTTATGAGAAATGTCAAACGGAAACATCGCGACGTAACGCGATGGCATAAATCTTACCTCCGCAATGTCAAGCTCGACAAGTTGGCCGAGAAAAGACGCGTAAAACAGTATTTCTTATTCTTCCTTTATTTCTTTTATTCGCCATCGTGGGACCGCCACGATTCTTGCCGCGGGCAAGTCAATTGCTTAAATGCCGTTAATTATTGCACAAGCATTACATAAGTAAACAGCTGGATCGAGCAGGTGAGGGAGAGGAGGAAGCAGCAGGGAAGACAGGAAAAAGACGCAAATTACTGCCACCGAGAGCAATTCACATCCATCACGCGTGTTACGTACGATTAACAATCCTCTCATCTCTCTTCTTCTTTGTGATTATATTATTCTACAACTCTGTAACTCAAATAACATTTGAAATCTTCTTTTATTTTGTTTGTAGGAAAACATTCATAAAATATGCGCGATGCTTAGTTAGACAGGGAAAAATATTTTTCCTACAAGACTCGAAAAATTCTGGTGCAATAAGAGAATAAATAGTGAAAAAAATAAGAGAAAAAGTTATCTGCTCGAAATATGAAGTATGAAACAAAATAATTATTCATATATGTTGCAAGTTTTTTATAAATTTAACAAAAAAAGCTCATATAAAAAAAGCTTTTACAAAAAAAGCTCATATAAAAAGGCTTATCATAAAAATTCGGCTAAAAAATTTTAGTTAAAAATCTTTATAACAGTTAAATCTTTTTGTAAAAAAGCTGATTTTATCACACATATGTAATGAAATAAATAAAATTTTTTTTATAATTGTTTATATATAACAATTTTATAATTTCTTAATCTAATTAAAGTAAAAATAATTTTACTTTTATATTTTATTATAATTTTACTATTTATATTATAATTAAGAAAAGAAAAAAGACTTTATTTTATATTATAATATAATATATAAAATATCAAATTAGCCTAGTTTTAAATTAAAGCTTTAATTAAAGCTGGAATGGGCGAGGAAGAAATGATTTTCATGATCGAAAAATATAGCCTTGGCCTGCTTCAAGAAGAATGCTCTTCCATTGAAACATCTCTTTTATATTCAAAGACGAAATTCGTCGTAATTGTCCCTATTACTGAATAAATAATTCATAAGATAATCATGATTGGTTTAATGGCTTGAATTACGCGTTAAGTTTGAAATTCGAACAATAATCGATTGGAGGTGAAAGAATACAAAAGATGAGGCAAATATTACGGCATATTGTGTCAGATCTAATCATCACGAATAATTTGATATTCTAGATTTTTCTGTTTTTTTGTTGGGTCTATAAAAATTTTACTTAGGTCATTAGCTTTGAAACTAGCTATGTGCAACAGAAATTGTACATCTTTTGTGATAATAAGATGATATAAAATTATAAAAGAAATCAAATAGTATTCTTTGAGTTTTCGAAATTCGAAAATAATTGTTTTTTTTTTAAATATCAAGTAAACCAAGAATTATTTGAAATGCTAATTTTTAATGCTTAAAAATTTGCAATTATGAGAATTTTTCTCAATCCTACTTTTTTTTATCCGAAAGATATATTTGATAACTGTGTAACATTTGAACGCATACAGGAGTATACGAATGCACGCCCAACTCGTTGTCGCTGTGCTTCCTTTTCACTTCCCGTTTGCCGCTTATCGTTTTCTTTCCGGAACGCTCGTCGCAAATAAGAGCTGTCGTCGTCGTCCGGAATTAATGTCGTCGAGACGCCCGACCCTGATTCATCGACGCCTACTAGTCGTCTACGTTGTCGATCTTCCTGACAACAGGATCTGCCGCGTAAAATGTAAAATTCTCGATTCTTGGAATAGATACGGAAAATGTTTCTGTTTAGATGTCCTTTTTAAATAAATTAATTAGGTAAATGTTTATATAAGTAATTATAAATAAGTATAATTGACATTATTTCAAATAATAAATAATTTTATACAAAAATTGTTTATTTAGTGAATCAATTATAGCGAGATTGAATCTCTCTTCATCGCAATAAATGCGATACGATGTGTATATTTTTGTCTCGTGCGTATATTTATCACACGTTTTTCCGGATTTCGCCACCGATCACACCATATGTCACTGACCACAAGGGAATTCGCTTCCGCTCCAATTTCGTCGCGATGCTTCGTCAGAATTTTATATTAGCGGAAAAAAACACGTGTATAATTCCTTGACCTCCTTAATCAAATGTAATTTGTCGAAGTCATCATTTATCTCCCCCGAAAATCCCTTAGAGACTTTTCTATCGTAAAGTTTCTAAAAGAGAGGTTTCCCCGGAAAAGACGGTGAAGAATCATCATATTCGCGCTCCTCTCTAAAGTTTATCTGCAAAAAATGTTACGGATGTATACGCGACATTGTGACACATGTGTGGTTCGAGGAACGCATCATTAAATAAAATTTCACTTTTCGAACGAATTATATTCGTTCCAGGAACTTAAACAAATTGAATTTTTAAAAAAAATTAAATGTACACATTACACAAAGTAAATAAACGAAATATCTCTTTAATAAAGGATAATTCTCAGTTGAACCTTGAAACATATAACAGAATAATAAATAACATGAGCGCACAAACTCGTTGCATTTTGAAATTGTATATCATCATATCGGTGACTCTATAAAATCATTATCAATTAAAAAAAAATTCCAATTAAATATTTTCTGCGAAAATTATATTTTTAAAATTGATGCTAAAATGAAAAAAAAATCGTACAAAATAATACTTGCCTAATGCAAATTGTTTCATCATGCTCGACATGTTCAGCGATTTCGTTCGTTCTACGCATGCTTACAAAGGGGAACACTTGTCACCCTCGTGTCTTCGTAACATCCCCCCACTGTCCCCCACAGTTCCGCTGACATTGACATTTTCGCGCTCAAATCGAATCGATCTCGTCGCGAGTAGCGAATCGATTTCATCACCGATCCTACCACGACGTTCTCATCCTGTCCAGCTTCCAATGATCGGCGCTCTATCCCTCCTCAGGGTGTCCTGCGACACATCCCTCCGAAGTTCGAAGGTCACGGTAACAATCGCCGCTATCCGGTATCCCCCTGAAGAGGGCCCCGTTCGTTTTGGTCCCCTGGAGTAGGGAGGCTATATATAACATCGCCGCCGAGGCGCTCTCCTTCAGTATTCTTGCGCGCGTCCATCTCGAAGGTGCACGGTCTGTCGCTGCTACCAGTTCGCCTCTTTGCATCTCCTTTGAGTGCTGTCAATAGGGAGATCTCTTTGATCCTCGATCGGAAGATCGCGAAGATAAGGGGAAGAGATCCAGGAAATCAATTATCGATTTTCGCTTACTCTCTTTGGGGGGGTTCACGAAAGTCCCTCGAGGAGAATTTTTTATCGGCATTTCGGACAGAAACGAAAATAAGAGGCTTGATAGGGGCCTTTAGCAGATGATCGCCGACTTTGCGATCTTTAAAGGGATCTGTTTGACAAGCTCCTAAGTAAACGGATTTTGGAGTGACGCTTGAAGAGGAAATCTATCTTATTTCCAGTGTGTGTCAATCCTGGAAAGATAGATGTAATCTCTACTTTCACAGACTCTTCAAGATATCCTCGAGCCTTGATCCTTATTATTGTACACATCGAACTTGGAACTAGCTAAATATATTTCGGTCAAGACTTTTTTAGTGGAGGAAATGACACGGACTTTGATAACGGGAATTACTTACTAGCCTCTTTGTCGAGTTTATGTTGACGATCAAGATCCTGGTTTATCAAAGATTCCTCGAATTGCCGATGATTTCCTCAGCCGAACGTACTTCGATAAAATTCTTGAAATGGTTGCAATACCTCGAGACGAAGCGTGCGGATAAGTACATTTGATAGAGACATTTGATAGAGACGAGAACGAACGTGTTGTTCTTGGCGCGAGGTATCACGTCAATGTTACACGGAAGACGAGCAACATCGTCGGCTGGATGAGAGAAGACTTCGTACTTTGAATCGCGAGGGGAAAGTCCAGCTAATAAGCAGCTAGCATAACAATGGTCGTCAACAAGATCAACATGTCGTCGTATTCCGCGCCGCTACGTACCTTCTTCTCGGGGTTTCACACTAAGGTAAAAAGATCTCATACGCGACAAGATGTCGTATTATATGCTATAATCAAAAGTTTAATTAATCAGATCCTATAAAATCAAGTTTAATTCTTTAATAATAAAAATTTTTAAATTAAAATTTAATTTTGATTTAATTTTGATTTTGATTTTATTTTTTATTATTATTATTATTTTAAATTTCTATTTATTTATTTGAGTCAAAACCTATTATTTTTAATAAAAATTTATATTCTCTTATATATACTTTGGAATCATAATTTAGTATTTAAATTAACTTTTTAAGATATCAGAAATTTTACATTTTTCTAAAAAAACAGTGTCTCAACATTTAAAATCTTACAATTGTAACTGTTTAAATTGAAAAAAGGTCTGCTTACTCTATCTGTAAAATTTACTTCGCAATAACTCGTTATTTTCATGGACTTATAATTCAGAAGGCATTGATATTTTATTTATATATTAAAAAAAAAATTCTAAATCGATCTGAATAAAAATTAAACTCTAAGAATATTTTACATCGTTAATATGTAAAATGACATGCAGCACATATCAAAAACTTTTATATCGTTAAAAACTTATCGGGCTATAAACTGATCGCCGAATCACGGTTCGAAACTGAATCGAATAATAAACTGTGGCTATTTTTTTCGAAGTGCAATACACACGACGAGTTTTTCTCTTAAAAATAATTAGGGGGATGAAGCGAAGGAAATAGCAGACACGTTGCTACGATATATTTTTCACCACGATATTTTTGGCACGTCGCTACATTTATGTATGCTCGGCGAGCTGCAATCTTTTTTTGGTTGATGCCGAATTCAGCGAACAGCTGGTAGTAACTTATGTAATGGCGACGAACCGCAAAACTCTCTCTGCTAGTTTATTAAACTCTCGTCTCTTCGCAGCTGCGAAAACTTCTTTTTTCCGTCAACGCAAACATCACTAAGAATTACAGACGTCTCGTTTTGTTTATCGCGAAATGAAAAGGTCAATTACATATTTCTTGTGTTGATACAAAACAACTTTTTTCTCCTGAATATACATGCTAATGCGCAAAAATAATCTTACGCGATTCGAGACTAGCATCTTTGTGTTGCGATTCTCTTAAAGGTCGACAATATAAATGGAGAATATAAATTGCTTTTATTCAGAATGTATTCTCGATGAAAAAAATTTGCAAGATTTTTAATATAACTCGTGTTAAATTAATTTAATCAATTACACAAATTAAGAAATAAATTTTGGTTGAAATGAAAAATGCATTTATTTTGGTTGAAATGAAAAATGCATTTATTTTCCCGACATTTTTTCAACATCATTTATTAATTAAACATTCTTTGATATTTTAGTATTTAATATTGAAAAAGTTTCGTTCATATTTTATTAATGTATTCTGATATCTTTAGTATCAATATATTATGTATAAATATTTTATACCATTCATAATTTATTGAATATTTAGTTCACAGAATGTATTAATTATATGCAATTATTATATTTTCTACGGTTATTAATTTGTCTATGCTGTTTACCTTGACATGATGTATTAAAGATGTTTCATTATCTCTAGCTATAAATCCGTATTAATATTACTGAATTAATCACATGATGAGAAGAAATTCGCATGATAGACTGAGAGAATTACGAGATGTATCTTCAAGTATGCAGTACAGTTTCCTTACGGACTGTCGTAATTTCGCGCTGCAACGTTGTATTTAGGTCTCGTTATATTTAGAGTGATTTCCTCGTAGAAAAGCACTTGTCTCATCTCGTCCGGCTTCGTTAGAGCCGGATCTCTTTCATTCTCTATTATTTTTTATTCAGTTTTATCGCTAATACGTTGTTAATAACAATTCTATTCTATCTAATCATTGTTGTTGAAATAACGAGATATTCAATTTATATTATAGTAAGAGAGAATTTTTATTATATATATGCGCATGTGACATTTTTAATATAAAGAATATATGCAATACACACACACACAATACATATTTTAATATAAAAAAATAATTGATGTATAACGCGATTTTTCATAGTTAAAAATTTTTAGCAATTAAAGAGAGATTTTTTTAAATTTTCTATTGTATAAAACAGAAAAAGGATATCAATATTTCGCGACATTTCTTTTAATTTAAAGACTTATGATCGGCGAATAAGGCCGTGCGTTCCATTTAAAATACTTTATATAACCGAGAGTTGCTTCAAGTGTAAAATATACAAAAAAATAATATCATTTATAATATATAATTTCTGATAAAAAAATAAATAAAAATATTACTAAGAATTCTATTTATAATTGCTTGGAGACATGATTAGCAGCCTTTTTTTCTTTTAAAGACTTATGATCAGCGAATAAGGCCATGCGTTTCATTTAAAATACTTTATATAGCCGAGAGTTGCTTTAAGTATAAAATATACAAAAAAATATAGTTTCTTTTATAATATATATAATATATATAATTTCTGGTAAAAAAAGAAATAAAAAATGTTAGTAAGAATGCCGTCTATAATTGCTTGGAGACATGATTAAGCAGCCTTTTTTGATAGGGAATTAAAAGGCGACACGTGGAGTCGCATTGTTGAATTGAATAAGGAATAAGGATAGCTCGTGGCACGAGCGACGATCGCTCTCATTAAGAATGCCTCATGGCCGTTGGGATGACATTAATATCAATGTATCGTACGCGAGAGAGGAAAAGAGAGCGAGGGAGGAGATGCTGAGATGCCTGTGGCGGCGTTTCGCTCTTTCACGCGAAGCGAGACCTCGAATTAGGGAAGCCACCGTCGCGGCTCGTGTCCGAAATAGCCCGAAGCAAGCCGAGAATTTTTGTAGGCCGCGGCTGTTTCCTCCTGAAGCTCACATTAATCACCCTTTTCCAGCCTGTCATACTAGTTCCTCTAGTCATTCATAATTTAAGTCTTGGAGGCGATAGTACAAATACTCTATGCATCCGTATTTATTTGCAAGATAAACTTACTTCTCCTTTTCTTCCGCTTTTGCTCGGAAAATATTATCTGAAATCATATTTTTTATAGTAATAATTTTATACGTTTTTGAGTAATAATTTTATACACATATAAAATAATGTAAAAAGGTTCATTTAACTAACAAGTATTTATTAATCTAAAAATATATAATTCAATTTCAAATTTACAAGATTTTGCTCAAATTTATAAATATACAATTTAAAATTTCACATAGAAAATTCAAGGTTTATCTAATTTAATTCAACAATTATTTATTAAGATTAAGATTTATATACATGATATAAATTTTAAAAATAGCAAGATTTATATCTAATACTTTTTTATAATTTTCATAATTTATATGACTTGCTAAATAGTCTGCCATTCAAATAATTGTGTAAATTTTTCGTTTTTCACATTCGGAATAAATTCAATTCTTGCTCCTGATTTCCTTTAGTCGTCGAATTAATCGATGAACCAACCGAGCCGACTTTTTCCATCGAGTCTGGAGAAAGAACAGAGCGTTCTCGAGGACGCGCGAAAGAACACCATAAAAGCGACTCCGATATAAGAGAGGCATAAAAGATTCATTTTGCTGGAGAGGTGACCCCGCCGACCCAGCATCCGCTCTCCGTAGGCGGCACTCTCGGATCTTTTCTCCTTGCACTCTCTCTCTTTCATTCTCTGATTCTCTTCGTTTTCTGTCTTTGTCCAGAAACGTTTTAATTTGCGAGAAAAATGTTCAAATATTAGAATAGTCTTTTATATGGACAAAAACTTCTTCCAAATATATTGATTATGTTTAAATAAGCGATAACAATAATCAATTATTTATATAGAAATTTTTTAATTATGTTTTTACTATTCATCCAATAAATATATATATATTGCACTGTTTTTTTTTTTTTATAAAATTTGTCTGTTGAATTTTATTTAATTAATCCGTTCTATTTAAATTTTCTAAATAAAAATATAATAATAAAAATTCATAATAAAAATATTACATTTATTTACACTTTGATAAGAGACAACAACATTTCAAGATTTTCGAATATCGACATAATATGTTTTTTTTTAGAAAGGAAAAATTGATAATATCGAATAAATCAGAAAATTGTCTTTAAATTGTCTTTTAATTACGACTTTATCTTTAGGCGAGATATTTTCTCTATCTTTTCCGTCATCCTGTACCCTCGAGGTGAGCACGTGTAAAACAAGAAATGGACGGAGGTAGTAATCTCGTTGAGACGATCAAGCAGTTGGTGATTAAGTATAACTCGCGCTAAATTGCCGAGAGTTAGGAGACGAAGTGTTGTTTTTTCGCTTTAAAGAAACGTATATATATTTTTTAATCATTTTTTAATCATCTCATCCTGGTTTCTGTTTTAATAGGAATTGAGAATTGTTTTTTATCGCATAATCAATTTGTTTTATATAAGTCAATTATTTTTTAATGTATAATTACATTTTCTCTCATTAGAGAATTATTATTGTAATTACAGTGAGTGGTGAATTTTTATTTGCGCGACCGTTTATGTAAACTTAACGCTATGATTATTATGCAACCTTTATTCGAAAATTTTAAAAATTATTTAAACTGAAGATTATTATATAGCTTCTAATTTTCTTTTTGTTAACTCTCTTATGATTATATAATAAAATTAATGTATGTATATATATATATATATATATATATATTATAATTAAAATTATAAAAACGGAAATGATTTGTTAAATAGGCAATTGTAATACAATTGTTTCAAAATGATTTCGATAGAAATACAACGGAAATATCATATCATAGGCGGTCATTCTTTATTTCTTATTACTTTATTTGTCATTCGAAAGGATATATTAATAATACATCGAAGATATTTCCGGGGGTCTAATCACTTCTTATAAAATCAATTTCCTTCAGCTTTTCTGTATTGGAGCGGAAACCGGATGCGTTTAATTTGTGAGTAATGTGAAATCGACGAGACGATCTAGAGATTTTTTATCTAACATTTACATTTAAAGATTATAATATA